AATAGAGATAGCTCTTACTTTTTCCTTGGAAATGCATGCTTCAAACAGAACAGTCAATGAAGACGAAGAAGAGGATGATGTGTTCTCCCGGCGCCTATTTATACTATAGTCGCACCGGTAGTGACGTCATGGCTGTCGCCGGCCAACGTGTTGTTGGTGTTTTTTCAATGTATGCTTCAGACACGGGTCACGACGAGGCGTTCCCCATAGCGACCCCTAGAGGACGCAGTTCGAAGTTCCCATGAAAGAGAACTGATGGTTGCCATTTACCAAAAATAAATCTGATGACATTTTAAAAGAATCTTTCTCTCCAATGTGATCTCTTTCTCGTTTATAGATATGTGTGTGTAAAGTGTGACATTTTGTAAGTTTGCATGAACACTGAAATGTAGAACATCAGCAGCTAAACATATGACAGTGTATGAAAACATTTTAAATGCACATGTATTTATGAATCTTTGAGGTTTCAGTGCTGAACTCATGAATCAGCAGGCAGATGTTCTTGCGGATGTAAATAAAGCAGTGACGTGAGAGACTGCTGATGTGTGTCAGTGATCATGAACCTTGTGTAGGACCTGCTGCTGGAGTTTGTCTTGATGTCGTCTCAGAGTTTGAGCTGCTGACTGGAATCTGTGAATTTATATCGACCGGAGCTGCAGAAGATGAACGTTCAGATGCATCATAATAACATCATATTTTCATTAACATAATATAATGTGTTCCATCATCAGATGAAGAAAAGCAGAAGGAGTGGTGTTTCCATCAAGGCTATTTCTATCTATAAACAGCTGTTTAGGACCCTGAGCTGCAGCAAAGCGAGGTGTTGTCTGTTATTTCTCCATTAGACAGTTATAGGAGCCTCTTGTGGCCTGAGATGATACTGCAACCAATAAACCAACAACCCATGTCCTGACCTGAATGAATGACATCATTATGTCTCTGTATCAGTCCGTTTTCTGAAAGTGACTTAGGAAAGTTAGTTTCTGACCTGAACTCTTGACAGTGTATGTGACTGAGCTCTTGACTTGATCTCTCCGAGTAACTTCACATCTCCACTCTCTGTTGTGATCTTCATTCAGGAGTGTTGTATTCAGAGTGATGGTACAGTGATCTGATGAGAGTAATATCTGATATCTGGAGTCTGATCTCGTCAGTTTGACACCAGCCTGATTCACCCAGAACAGCTCAATTCTCTCAGAACGGATCCAATCATCACAAGCAAGAGAATACAACTGACAGAAGAGAGTCACAGAGCGGCCTGCACTGATCTCAGTCTGTGAGGATGATGAAGATGAAGAGACTGAAACACAGAATAACACACAAATCACACACTCTTCAATCATCAGGAGAGTTTAAATGAAGAATAAATTGACCACATAATCGTAAAATTACCATGAAGAACATGCAGATAAACATGAGCATCAGTTCCTTGTTGTTTGTCATTCACATATTGACGGCAGATGTAAAATCCATAATCTTGTTTTGTGATGTTGTTGATGTTCAGAGAGCAGTCAGACCCCAGACTCAGTCTCTCATGACTCTCTGTGTCTTTCTTCTTTATCCCTAAACCAATCAGTTCAACTGCTGCTGAATCTCTGAATCTGTTATAGTTCCATGTAGTTGATTTGCAGTCAGGAAGAGCCTTATTACAGGACAGACGCATATTTTGACCAGAAC